CAATCACTGCATAGAAGAAAATAAATCATACTGTGGATACTTTATTTTCACTGGAATTAATTTTCGCTGAAAAGGCTTTTTGGGCGTTCTTTATGGAATTTATTTTCACTGATTTTTGATGAGTTTAATGGGAAATATAGGGAAAAAAGTATATTCGCTGGATTTTATTTTCACGGAATCATCCCTTCAGCGAAAATAGCGAAAATAAATTCCAAGCGTAAATAAAGTATTCTACAGTAATTTACAACATTGGTGGATTGACCAAAGCTAATATTGCATAGTATTAAATAATTATGGGCTAATTCGCATGAAATTCTTATTCTGCAGAATTAATTTTATTTGGTAAGCAAGCCAACAATGGAAGGTTTTGCATAAATAATGTTTTCAATCTGGACGGTAACAGATGTGAAAAACATTTACATTCTCTACAATTATAGTAGAGACTACGGGGAGTTCAACATATCTGCCAATATCACGTTAAATTAAGTTTTATAATTAGACAGGATTAGATATTTATGTTTGTTGCTGACATTGTAAAGGTTGAAATAAGTCAGAGAATATCTTAACTCTCATGACTTTATTAGACATGGAAGTAATGTTTACCGAAGGCAAATACTTACACATGTGTTTTATGAAGTTCTTCTACTTCTTTGTCAAAGTCATTATTCTGATTAGGAATGAATCGTAATTCATTGAGATATCCTTGTTTATGTTCAGCGGGGTCATAGTCACCCATTTCAGCTATAAAACAATAAACAGTAAATTATACACCAGAAGTGATATCACAAAATAATGTGTAATAATTTTCAGTCTAGAAAAACAGCCACAAATGTATTGATATGTAATTAAGAGGAATCACAGATAATTGTACTAACCACTTGTAAACTTACACCTTGGTTAACTTAAGACTGCCCAGCTTTAGTCGAAGTGCAACGTCAGATGGAGTTGACGAGAAGGTGTAGTTCATTCACAACCATTGAAAAAGTTGGCTAAGACTGGGGGGTTTGAATCCACAACAACAAACAAACACAGTGGGTAAAAACTGACTGAGCTATTGTGAATTCTGATTTATGTTCTCGAGTAATAGATGCATTAGAATGGTCATTTCAATGGCATGTAGTACGCACTGAGTTATCCACAAACAAATTACAAGCTGCTCAGTGCTGTGCATGGGAGCAATGCAGCTGCTTGTTGAATCTTTCAATTTTATGGTTTTTCACTGAGCAAGTCCAAACAAATATCACCTAATAATGAGTACGAGGAGGTTTACAAACATATGGTTTTTTGTTAAATTCCTGAGAGCTGGGAGGAATTACCCAATACTATATTGCTTATGTCCATAAATATCAACAATGAGGTTTGTTGTACCACGAATTTGAGTTTTTAGGATTTTACAATGAACTACGAATTTACTACGAATTATGATTGCTCTCCATAGGCAGATGATGTCATAGGCTTAGAAGAACGTGACACACCTGATACATGCATTTATTACGTAATGGGTCACATGGCTTATCTGAAGAAACTAAGTCCCCCCCCCCCTCTACTAGAAAAATTATCTCAAGTGAGGATGAAGTTGTACTCTCACTTTCATCGCAGGTGAATGACCTCAGCCAGGAACTGTCTGATTTGCTTGTAAACCTGGACAGATTTCCAACAAATAAATTGGCCGATTCTCAGGAAAAGTATCGGGTACCAGAAAAGGAAAGCCTTGTTAGACAACAGAGATGAGGCAAAGAGTGGTATTACTCGTACATTCACTGACCTAAACCATGGGTTTATAACTGTCAACTTAGACTCTTGTGGTGTTTTCAATGCATGTTGCTTACCTTGTACGGAGTATGAAGCTAATAATGCACCAGTATGATATGAACAGATTAACCTGAAAATAAATAATTAGGTCATTGTCAATGATGTCAAACATTTAATGTCTATGTCTAATGCATCATGTTGAGTAGAAGGAAGGGTCACCACTGTACTATGTTGAGTACATTGAGGGGTTCTTATTCAGTGGAGGAAAAAAGGTCTATGTTGAGTACATTGAGGGATTCATATTCAGTAGAGGAAGGGTCTACGTTGAGTACATTGAGGGGTTCATATTGAGTAGAGGTAGGGTCTATGTCGAGTACATTGAGGGGGTTCATATTCAGTAGAAGAAGGTTCTACGTTGAGTACATTGAGGGGTTCATATTTAGTAGAGGTAGGGTCTATGTCAAGTACATTGAGGGGGTTCATATTCAGTAGAGGAAGGTTCTACGTTGAGTACATTGAGGGGTTCATATTTAGTAGAGGTAGGGTCTATGTCGAGTACATTGAGGAGGTTCATATTCAGTAGAGGAAGGTTCTACGTTGAGTACATTGAGGGGTTCATATTTAGTAGAGGTAGGGTCTATGTCGAGTACATTGAGGAGGTTCATATTCAGTAGAGGAAGGTTCTACGTTGAGTACATTGAGGGGTTCATATTTAGTAGAGGTAGGGTCTATGTCGAGTACATTGAGGAGATTCATATTCAGTAGAGGAAGGTTCTACGTTGAGTACATTGAGGGGTTCATATTTAGTAGAGGTAGGGTCTATGTCGAGTACATTGAGGGGGTTCATATTCAGTAGAGGAATGGGTGTATGTTGAGTTCAATTGGAAGGGTTCATATTTAATAGAAGGTCTTCACATAGCGTGCATTAAAAAACAAACTATGTGTTTTACATGCATTGTAAACGTGGTTTGGGACCTACCAAATCAAATACTTTACAGCCTGACGACTGTGGCATTTCAAACATTAGGTAACGAAAAGGTTTGAGTTATCATACAAGATTACTTCATACCTTCCTTCCAAGATATCTTTCTTTAGCTGTAAAACATACTGATACCTCGTGTATTCTTCTTGGAGTTTACTTGGATCAGACACAAAAAATTTGACATGGAAATAAAAATAATAAGGTGCATCTGTACAGAAGAAGAAATGAAACATGGCTTACAAAGTTGAAATCATAAAACACATTATTATTTAGCATGAGTGTATTAAGTGAATCATTACGACAGTTGGAGTTGAATTTAAATTTTGTACAACTGAGTATGTGTACTGCACATACAATAAATGCAATGCATTATGGGAGAAAACTTTCCATTGTAAATAATAAGAAACTATTATAACTGACTGACTTAAATTCTAAAAGTTCTAACAATATTAGGATTCATATCAATAATAAAATTGGACTTTTTCATCCCATGTGATCGATCCAAATTTTAAGATAGGAATAAATAATTTATGTAACCATAGAAACCAGTGAAAAAATGCAAAATTTGACCATCTTTGTTTATTATTTCTCAAAATATGGCATCAACCTATCTTCAGTTCGGCCAAAACTTTCATTAAGAATGTTCGTTACAGTTTCACTATTGCAATGTGCACAGAATTCCAAAATTTTCAATCATAGGGTTGTAGAAAAAGTGAGCACAATGTCCAATATGGAAAAACTCTAATAATATATGACAAACATGTTTTAATTTGGGGGATTTATTTTCCTATCATATACATAGAGTGCAACTTGATGAATCGCTCGCAATAATACAAATTCGGATAAATCATTTGCTGATGTGTTTCCTCACAATTTGAGCACATGTCAACATACATGTGACACAATAGTCCCAAAACACCAACAAATCTAAAAGGTATCAAATCAGAGTGCAACTCTTAACACGTTGACCTGCTGGAAGTCTCTAAGGGTAGATGGGATAAAAAAAAATGCATAAGCAGGTGACGTGCTAACGGGAAATTTCAATTGACCCTAATAATCTATATGCATGAAGCACTCTATTCAGCTGTGATTGCTTCAAAGTTTGTTGAACTCAATTCAACTCTGTTTATAAAATATGTATAACAACGGATATATATACAGAACAACATCTGACTACTGTCATGCATCTATTAGAAAACATAAATAATATTTTACATGAACGGACAATGATATATTTATTTTTCACTAACAATTCACCAATTTTTTTTTTAATATTATTGCTTGACTCTGTGTGCTAATTTTTTTTGAGTATGTGTGATTTGATTTACTGTAAAACCATTTATTTTTACTGACATTTAATTTCACTGTTTTGATGTTTTGAGCAAATTCACTAGATTTTAATTTCCCGAACTTGGCAAGGAAATAGTCCTAATGTAATACTCCAAGTTCACATGGGTTCTAATTTTAAATAGCAAATTTCCCTTTAAATAGCGAAATTAAAAAAAAACAGCCAACAATTAATGCATTCACGGTAATGACATTCGTGATAACAGAATTTTGTTGTAGTCGTTTTTTTTTTGAATCCAAGTAAAATTTTCCCTGTTATAAAATTATATAATTTTCACTAATTTGTAAAAATTTGTGATAATTTGTCGTTCAAGAAATCAAAGTGGTGTAATAAAGCTCTCTTTGAAATCAATAAAAATCAATTCATCAGGACTTACTTTTAACTTGTTTCCGAACAGACTTCAGAGGATCTAGCCACCTCAAATTATCAGGGTCTGTGTCATTTTCGACAAATTTCAAACCAAAATAATCTCTTTCGAGCAAATCAAGAAACTTGTAGACTTCGTCAAGAAGTACTTCTCCCTTGGCTCGCCGCTGTCATTAAAAGTGAAAAAAAAAGGTAAAACTGTAAATTGGGTTATTATCGTAGTTTCTGATATTCAGAATAATTCATGAATTAAACACATTTAACAAATTTTACAATACAAAGTTCAATGTGAAGACTATTTTTTGCTGTAACACACTGGTCAAAATCCCTGTACGTTCCCAGGGGATGGAACAAGTCACAATGACCACAGGCAGAGAGGAATGCAAAAAGGTTATTATAAAGGTGACAAATTGGAATAAGCAGAGGCTTTGTATTCGGCTACATTATCCCGAATTAAAACCGCATTGCGCCATGAATTCTGAGCAACCTTTATGATGGCATTCCTATGACAGCTTGACATACACATGTACGTATTTATTCTAAGCATAGTCCCAGGGTTTATCAGGCCAGGGTACTTGGTTGTACATATCTAAATTTCTAGCGTATATTTTACCAGTGAAAAGATACTCCTGCAATGGGCATCTTTCATGGATAGCGATACTGTATTCACAAAAATTTTTCGTTTTTATTCTATTGACTTTGACTAAACTGGCTTGGTAATTCCAACCACAGCATTTCGGCTCATTTTTAATAAATCCAAAATCACCCTGGATAATTTACTTTGCATGTGTACTTTTGCATTTGATGTTTTGATAATTATAATAGGTGAACTATAAATTAGTACATATGTGTGCACAAATATACCCATAAAATATTTAAAAAATGTATTATGTAATGTAATCTTGACAAGAGAACACAGAATTTTCCCTTGCTATTACTATGCATTTTTTTTATCTCTGTCACTTTATGTGGGAATCCTAATAAATCCTAGGCATTTTGCAATATTAGAGGTTGTCCATGGGAACTGCAGATTTTTTTTACAAATACTGTATTCACTGACATTAATTTTGTATTCACATTTTCATGTACACCATCTTTCTCTTACTGACTTGACTACAATGTGTTTTGTTTTAAATTCCCCTATATGACTTTTGTACAATGATACCGGTACTGTGTTCTCAAGCATAAATGACAGATTGTTTGAAAGCAGAAGATTGCAAGATTTATGCTGTATATTCTAGGCCTACACGCACCTGTGATTCTCAAGTCTAGGCCATTTACCTACTTGTCAGTGTCTGACTGGTATAAACAAAATGCAACCAAGAAAATGTCAGGTTTGTTTTTAAGAAAAGAAAACAAAAATTTGAGCCAAGAAAGCCACAGAACCACAATAACCGGCCGTCGCCATCCACAACAGCTACAGTATATGATTTCGCACACAGAAATTTACATTGAAATGAACACTAAATACAGCTATCCCGGCCAGCAATCGAATTATCGATCTTCACGAGTTATATAATTGGTGTTTCCATCTATTTGCTTCAATTCTCACTGTCCCCAAACGATCAAATGAATTTTTTCGTATTTGTGAATGTGTGAATTTACATACAGTGACCTAAATTCTACAATAAAAAAACATGCTGAACAGGAGGTCCAATCTGGGCTAGTACCATTGTTTAAATTTTGAAGAAATTATTTATACAGGCGACATTCCAATAAGAAACTTTTCGATTAGCATATCAACATTTTTTATGGAACAGAACATGTTCTACATGTAAATTCACCAAAAACAATGCTTCAAGACACTCAACAAACTTGAAACCAAAGAAATCATTGGATCCAAGCGACCTGCATTCGTTGAAATCAAGTTAGTTATTAGAGACGCCTGTGAACCAAAATTAAGGATGTGAATAACTCCAGCATGAAAAACCAGCGGTAATGACCAAATAATAACTACAATTACTTGTCTACACATTACGAAACGATATCAACATCTCTTCCCATAAATATTACATAACAGACTTTAGGTCATATCGAAGAGTAATCGTAAAAGCTGGGAGCGCTGCTACATGTACACCAGGTATGTAAAACTACACCATTAACTGAGTTCTGATACCACTTTTACAGAGTTGATATATCAAATTTCAATCAATACAAGATGTCTGTGGATGCAAAGTGGCATCTCGTGAAAGGGTTCGCGCCATTATATTGACACTAAGCGTTTATCTCATTTTGATTTGGGATTCAACGTTTTTCATTTGGGAATCAAAAAATTATTTGAATCACTCTAATTATCAATTGCCAACCATATTTTTGTTTTTTTACTTCACTTAGTGTGGTCAAGTACAAACCATTTTTTTTCCATACCTAATGTATGTGGTTTTTGCACAAGTTTTCTTCAAAATATTCTCTCTGCAGATTTTTTTATTAAATCTACCCCCCCCCCCTCCCAAGTTGTTAATGGTCAATCCCTTATACAGTTGTACGAACTGGATTACTATCCTGAAATAGTTAAAATACAGCTGTTTGAAATCCCCATGTATCAAAGCGTAGATAAATACATGCAACTGACACTAATGAAATGAATGTTGTTGAAAATAAGGCATTTTATGGATGCAAACCAAACATAGAATAAATCATTCGTAGCTTATAAGATTCCAGGTGTGAAACATACAATAAATCATTCGTATTTTTTTTTTGTGTGTGTTTGTTGTCAGAAACTACTATAGTCAGATTATTGACATATTCCCTGTTGCATATTTCGCAAAATGACATCCATGTAGAAACTTCAAAAAACAAATATATAGCCAATATATATTCAATCAGATCACTACATGAAATTATATTTTTATTATTCAAATGGGTCAAAACATTTTTTTGGTTCTGGTTATCTTCAAAAATATGATTTATTATCCAAAAAATAGCCCTGGGTGATCTTTCAGATAAATACTGTTATACAATAGTTAGGACATTGGAAGGGATACATGTATATTGCAGTTTCTTAAAGAGAACACTGTTCCATAAATATAGATGAAGTTAGCGGGACATTCTTTGACAGAGTTTCTTAAAGGGAACAATGCTCTATAAATATACATGAAGTTAGCAGGACATATTTGACAGGGATTCTTAAAGGAAACAAAAAAATATGCTTTGCATTGTGGGTAAATTGTGGGTAGGTGTTCAAAAATACGCAAATTTTACTGATCCAGAAATAATAACAGGATAAATACACTATAAAGCAGGGGTTATGTCATGGACCAGTTTGAACCATGACTATGGATTTTAGTCAAGGCAAAATAAATGCAAGAATATGGGAATAAGGTCCCGTCTTAGTTGTACTTTGTATTCAATACACGCTACTGTAAGCAGACATTCAATGACAAGAGTCTCTATTACGAGAACACTGCTCTATATAAATAGAAATGTACATGTAGTCGGGTTTGTCACGTGGGATAATTTGATGATTTAAAGACAGATGATTGATCATTTAATTTAAAAAATACAGGAAAAAAAAGAAAGAATGTTACAATGCAGCACATTGTACGAGTATGTCATGTATACAGCATATTTGAAATAGCCATTGTAGTTATTGACAGTATTTAAACACACTGTATTGTCCTTGCAAACAGTTGAAATATTAATTGTCATTTCGGGTCACATGAAAGGAATGGAAAACATGTTTATCAGCATTCAATTCTTGACTAAAAGGTTATCTTTCTATAATAAAACTGAAACTGAAATTAATAAGTAATTGCAATTACTGCCCTTCAACATAATTTTGTTCACACAAGGAAATGCTGACAACTTTTTTTGGAACGCTAGTTGAATGAAGACCTTTCACTCAGACAGATGCCTGAATTAATATTTCTGATATCTTGCAATCTTTGTCATGACTACTGTATTTGCGCTTTAATGGTTTGAAATAATGATCATACAAAAATGTGCTAAAGAATTGCCGTGAGCAATGTTTTTGAGCCAGTATGTATGAAATGTAAAAAAAGATGGG